GGGTGCCGTGTGCTAATATGCTTCTATCATCCGCACCAATCGGAAACTTTTGTCCCTTCCACTGTACCTACTGTTCTCGGTATTTGCTGATAGGCTTTCATTGAGTAGGTTATGTGATGTAACCTTCGCCTTGCACTCGAACGCTCAATTAATCGTTACTACAGCCGTTGTTGCCATGCATGGCTGGTTGTATGCATTTGGCAGGATTTTTTTAAACCCATCTCAATTTTGATAGTTCAGTAGGAATCAATAGAGAAAAACGGTAGATGAGCTCACTTTAAATTAAAAACACACGCTATATACATTAATTAACACCCGGTGTACATTTTGCTATTTAATTTAATGTCTGAACGGACCTTTTGCGCGATAAAAGTGAGGCAAAATTAGCATGCTGGCTAAATCAAAATGTAGGTAACCTGCTGTCCTGACCGTTGTTTATCTTTTTGTATCTCAATTTTTATAGCTAATCTGGAAAACATTTGTCTAGAAAAAATGTATTTGCCGTGGAAATCGCCTTGACGCAATTGCAACAGTTTCGAAACATTCAAAATCAATTCGCAACATATACGCTTCCGCGTTAGTAAAATGCATTTTTTTTGCAATAAAAGTACAATCTAAACTGTAGAAACCTAAGAACAAATTTTTAACAATAAATGCCAAATTAGCGATCTCTTCAATTTAGCAGTTACCATGGATACGTAGCTACGTGATGTAGCGTGTTTCTGACTATGTCAACTTGATTCGATTTCTGAACTAAACATATTTTCATTTTCTTCTATAAATCGAGAACGACTGGTAAGGTAGTTTCAAGATATGAAAGCGTGTGTCGAATGAAAAGTGTTGCACCATTTAACTATTGTCCAAAAATCACAAAAATGTGTAATCTTGTTTGGCTTGTTTCAAACCAAACGCTTTAGCAAAAAATTGCTTTTAGAAGACATTACAATAATCTTTCAAGCAAGACGAAAAATAATCGAATCGGTTAAGTGGTTTAGGAGATATTACAATGTAAATATTGAAAACTGCAAGTGCTTCCCAGTCTTTTATTATGAAAGATACAAGAAATGGTTAAAAAGATAAACTATGTCGTATTAAAGCTAAATTCGTATTAAACTATGCAGCATTAAATCCACCTAATTTAAAAATTAGAGATCTTCGGCTTGAAAGAAACTTAAATTTTCATTTCCTGAATAGCTGCCACAAGGTGGCGTAAATTTAAAAAAGTTGTTAAAACACCCCCTTCTAAAATGACTAGAAGAACACGCTGTTAAAATATTTTAACATATTTACGGAACACCCTGTATAATGCCAAAGAAGCAAAATTTGAATTAATATGTTCAGTTCATTAAAAAGGAATATTTCATGTTCCTATCGTTCTATCACGGCTCGACTTATTGGACATTCCCCCACTAGATGTCAGGGTCGATGACAATTTCTGTAGCAATTTCCAGCTTTTTTTTAATTACTTAAATTTTTCATATTTAAGACGACATTTGTATTATCGAAAATTCCTTACTTTAGGTTTCTATCCAATCAATCTATAGATTTAAAAATTTGGTTTCAGAAATTAATATTTGCATTTTAACGAACTTCCGAGGGAGAGTAAAATAGCCACTAAAATCAGCTGTCATCAAAATCAAAAACATAACCTATATTAAAAATATATATAAAAAGTTCCAAAACCTATGAAATAATGAATTTATCATCAATTAAAAACGTAGGTTTTCGAGCAGCCAAAATTCGGTAAAATATAATTATTCAATTTTCAGGTAAGCAACATTTTAAAGCTACAAACCCTTGTTTCCCGGTGTATCCACACCACCGCAGTTCGTGACAAAAATCAAGCTGGAAGATACAGAATTACTCCGAGGAAAAATTTTCCTCTTACATATGAGATGGCCAACCCTCCTCATGAAATAGCCCACAAGAAATCTTGGAATTCATGGAATACGTGTAAGTTTTTAAGGATTTGCATTGTTACATACCGTAATTTCATCAGTTTGCATGATGTACATTTTAATTTGTAAGGAAGGTAAACAAAACAAGGACCTAAGGGTTAGTTTTTGGGCAAGTTGTTTCAACCTCTTTGAATATGTTTTTTATTGTGTATATTTTCCTGACTGTATTTCAACTTAATTCTAAAAAAATTCCTGGGTTCGAGTTTTATTGTTTATCATTTAAAATGTAACAAATACGTTTCGGTGTTTTTCTCCACCATCATCAGTTTGTCCAAAATATACATTCATAGTCGTCATTAGTTTAAAACAAGAGCTCTGTTAAAATATACATACTAAAATACAAATTACAAACATATTAAAAAGTATATTAAACTCGTTTGAATCTCTTGAGATTACATATAAATGTAGCAAGACAGTGATTATGATGAAGTGATTACTGATAGAGCAATTAAATTGGCAAATTATGAGTATAGAGCAAAAAACCTTAAAAAAATAAAAAAGATACTAATAGTGAACAACTATCCTAAATCATTTTTCGAACCAATCATAAAACGAAGAATAAATAAAATCTACAATTCCAATAAATGGAACAACATAACTAATAATAATAATAAGAAAAAAGAAGGTGAAATCAAGTATATATCATTACCATATATTCCAGAAATTAACACAAAAATAAAAATATTTTAAAACCGCATAATATCACATATAACTTAGCAAAATAATGTTTCACAAAATTTACGCCAAAAATGATAAGTTAAACACATCTAAAGTAATATACAAGATTGACTGTTTGAACTGTGAACAACAACAACAACAAACAGGACAATATTTAAAGTAAAGAATATGCGAACATAAATATAGCTTAAGAAAGGTTAACGAAAATGGAACAGCATTAGCACAACATGCGCAGCAAATGTTACATAGTTTTGATAACACAAAAACATTAATCAATTAAAACAATTATAATAAGAGAAGAATCCATGAAATGATACGAATTAAAAAACATCAGAATGCAATTAATTTTAGATCAGACACAGACAATCTTAGCTCTATATATCATACACTAATTAAACGAACACCTATATACACTAATTAAACCAACTACATAAAATATAAACACCTGGTATATTGAAGAAATGCAGACCAAGTGATATCTTCAGAATGCAAAAAAAAATGCCAAGTAATATCAACAGTTTTTTTATTCTTTCGCTCGATATTGTACGTTAAATAAAGAGTTTTCAATGGTTTGCCAAATGTGAAGGAGAAACAGCCATACATGTAAATAAAATTTAAATCTATAAACAATAAATTCTAGTCTTTCATCACCTGTAATCCCAAGAGACTCAAACGATTTTAATATACTTTTTAATATGTTTGTAACAGAGCTCTTGTTTTAAACTAATGACGACTGTGAATTTATATTTTAGACAAACTGATGATGGTTGAATTTTGAATCACCCTGTATATAAGTGCGTAGCTTAGCAGTCAGTTCGCAGAATTCGATTGCCTATTCATTACCGTTTTCAAAATTTAGGTACCCGACTTCGTTCCTGTAATAATCTGAAAAGACAATAAATCAACCTTTTTTTTAATTATAACATATAACCTAAACTGCTTAACTTGGAAAAAAAGTTAAAATTGCCCTTGGTAGCACTTTTTGCTGTGATGCCAATAAACTAGCAATCGTTGTCATACTCAACTTGATTTACGAGATAAAAAATAAATTTATGTTTTTTTATTTGGCAATCATAGTGGACCTTTCAAAATTCTTATTTTTCTGAATTTAACGATATAACTATTCCTAAGTTTATTTCTTTTTTTAAACGTAAAAATTCAAAAGAGCATTAAAAATGTGTAGTAGGCTCTGGAATTTTAACCGTTAAAAGAAGAGATAAACATACAAACAGTTATATCGTTAAATTTAGAAAAAAATAAGGATTTTAAGAGGTCCACAGCCAACTACCATTTAAGAAAAACATAAGTTTATTTTTAATCTCGTAAATCAAGTTGACTATGACAGTGAGTGCTAGTTTATTGGATTCAACGCCAAGTTCTACCAAGGGCAATTTTAACTTTTTTTCTAAGTTAAGCAGTTTACGTAATATGTGATAATTAAAAGTGTTGATTTCTTGTCTTTTCAGGATATTTCAAGAACCAAGTCGGGTATCTAAATTTTCAAAACGATAATGAATAGGCAATCGAATTCTGCCCAATTTTGCCCATTTAACGGATTTTCTATCTTTAAAAATGTAGAAGTTGTTCATACAAAGATTCAGAAAATGGCCGCCCTGTATATGTTATGGGCAATGTAAATAATTGTGCATTGTTTATAATACCCGTGCAATTTAAATAAGTACAAACAAAACTTAAGTTCAAATAAAATAATGTATTAGATATGTACGTACTTACAAATTTATATTTACACAAAATGTCAATATGTAGCAATGCATAGAGGGTCTAGTTATTAGAGCAGCTTCCACTTTGGTGACATTTCGAGTTACATACTTTTTTCTTTACGACTCTTGCACTTGTCGGATTTACAGCCACATCGGCTATAGCCTTGACCCCCCTGTCTTGGATGACAATCTTGCACATTCTCTTAGTGAAATCTCTGCCTGTGGAATATCTTCGCCGTATATAAACTTCTCATTACAGATTGTAAATTGGTTCCTGGCATAAAGTTGATTTAGAACTTTGTGTTTCGTGCCTAATTTATACTGATTAGCATCTGTTACTTCAAGAACAAATGCCAAAATATTTCTTTCATCGGTGCGACCTCTGTCGGCATCTGGGAACTCTAACTGTGTCACCTTTTTAGCATTAGGGTATTTTGAGTTAGAAGTTTGAACCATTTTTTCAGCTTGTTTTTTTAGATTGCTTGCTGAAATCTGCCTAATTTTTAATATGTCGGCTTTTCTTTTTTCACATAGGGTTATTCCGGAGAAACTTCTTTAATATATAAATCGGGGCATGGTTTAGCTAGCAAAGTTGAAGTTTGAACATAAGTATCAAGAGAAAGTAGTTCCACCTCATCATGTTGACTTGGACCTGGTAGCTCCGATAACACATGTCACTCTGGTTTATTTTGCAGTGGACCTTCTTCTACATACTGTAAATTGTTCTGATCTTTTACTAGAACTTCTAAGTCCTCTTCACAATTTATATTATGCAGAACGTCTGTGGGTAAAAAACTTTTTAGACCAACTTGTAACTTTGTCCCAAACATGGCCTCATACGGAGTACAGTTGATGCCACTACGATGAGCTCTGTTCTTCATTAGCTGTACAAAACGCAAGCCTTCTGACCATTTCCTGGTGCTATTGTCTTCTAGCCACAAACAAGCATATTTTCCACGTCCTGATTCGCAGGTTCTACGGAACCCTGACTTTGAGAGTGTCTGGGCTTCTCATGCACCATCTTCAACTCGGGCCACATGCTACATAGTTCACTAATAGTAGTGTTAGCAAATTCTCCTCCATTTTCACCTTGCTAGTTATTGAAAAAAATTGAATTGAATGAAACATATTTTATTTTTATACTATCAAGTGATTTATTAGTGCCGTAGCAATAACGTAATGTTTAATTATTTTTGAAATGTTTGCAGCCAATCTGCTGGGAGGACAGAGGCAATCAGAAACAGCTGTGGAGGACCAATTCATACGAAAATTTATGCATGGTACTTGGCATGCCTTATTTCTAAGTGAAGTGATTATTAAAAGACAACATAATTTGATAAGAATCGCTGGAATTATACACAGAGGTATAATGCCTAGAAAAATGTATTTTCTCATAGGATATACTGAAGAGTTTCTCAGCTTTTGGCTTCAGTGTCCCATAAAACTGGAATTGCAAACAACAGCCAATAGAAAAGATGTAATATTTAAATATATTTAGAGTACTCGTAAGCACTATGATATCAATAAACTGTTGTGTTTTAAAAGAATGATCTACATTTTCTGCTTAGTTGCTTCGAAAACCACAACTATAAGAAATTTAAAGGTTATGCAGTAGAAGTACATGGAAATTAGGACTAATCAACAATTATATTTTAATTTCTGTCGCTCTTAAGAACTAATGTAGTGCTTTTGGATTAGTACCACATTTGCGCATTGCGTAAAAATTGGTTTAAAAGTCCATTGAATGTTTACAATAGTTTGGCGTTGCTATATCGGTTATAACAAGAGCGCCACCAAAGAAAGTAGAAACTTAGTAAGGTTATGATATATTAGCATTGTGGCTGGAAGCCTTTCACAGGTCCGTACGCATTTAAACATTCCTCTGTAGGTTTCGGCAACCGTCTCTATGCTGACTGGCTAATTTGAATACGCTGCTGAAGCATATAGTGTGTGATCAAAAAATATACAATGGCCTGCAGAGTTACTGATAACTGTACAGAAATTACAAGAGATACTGAAAAGAAAGATTCATATGTTAAAGTAATAATTGCGTAATGTAATTGTGTACTATAAATTTTGTAAAATATAACATTTTTAGGCAGGATATCCTACAATTATTAAACTGAAAAATGAACATAATCATTCTTTAGAGACAGCAGAAGCTTTTTAATTTTTGCGTCCTAGAGGCGCATCAGATGTTCTTATCTTATTTTTGCAGACTTTCTTGCAACAAACGGTCAGAAACACCCTGAATTCCCCATGTAAAAAACAAACCCATGAAAACCGCCTGGGTCGTTGATCTTCTCAGCGAAGACCTTTTTTAAGTGCCCGACCAGGCGGGTAAGGGAAGAAATTCCCGTAGGGAGTTGGCACCCGATTTTTGAAGACGAAGCATCGCACCCACAGGCACTTACGTCCACCCTCTCATTGTTTCGTTTTACCCGTTGTCTAATTTGACACGGGCCCCTATAGTGGTGGTTTGTGGCGTATTGTGCAAAAAAGGGCTCAGTACTGCAGTGATAAGAACCACAATTAGTTCCAACTAACCCAGAACCCCGACCTCCTGAAGGCTTGCTCGCTCATCTGAATCAAATAAAAATAGTCGATCACGCAACTTCTCAAGGGGCTGATGGCAGCAGGCTACTTGGCTCCAAAACCTGTAAGTTTAAACTTAATTCCCCTTTTGGAGGCCAATATATCCCCGTCAAGGTCTGACGGTAGTAGTGCATGTGCAATTAGAGCACACACTTGTGACTAGTGGTGACACTTTGGTTTAATTAAAATTTAGTAAAGGTATAATTAACAGGACTTTTTCCGTCACTTTCATCATTTCATTTCTCCGTTTAAGCTTAAGGTAAGTTTAGGTTTGTAAATTAGATTTAGAAAATTGTATTTGTAGGTTTATGATATTATTTAGTTATTAAACAGTTTTTTAATCAACTATTGTTGGTGTTTTTGTCGTTGCGGTTTTTATTAAAGCTCAGCACGGATAATATTAAAATCCACCCTTGGAAAAATAATCCACTTTATCGTTTGTTGTTACGTCATAAGGCTAACGTGTGAGACAAAAAAGGTATTATTAARCGGTAATTCGATAATTTTCAAAAAAACTTACAGCGATAATTTCACGTCGTCATGGAATCATAAAAAATATCACTGTCGACTGATTTATTTAGAGTGATTGAGGTCAAATATATTCTGAAATTTAATTTTTAATATTTAATTCGAGAAATAATCTCACTAAATACCACTCCGAGCTTTAAAATTAACCATATAATTTTTCACTCTGGCATGTGTATGTAATAATTTTTCCTTGCAAATTTCATTGCAAAATTATGGAAAACATGCAATCGTGAAAAATTATCGGTAATTTCAAAGCACTCGTGGTATTACCCCCGATAAGCTAAAATTGTCAGTGCGAATCATTCACTTATGAGTCATATTTTAAGGACGGAATGACCTTAAAATAATCTATCAATTACCACGAGTGAAAACTTGAATTGCAATTTGGTTTAAGCGGCATTGAATTTGCCAATGCTAGAACCAACCCTCAATATCGAACTGTTCAGTATTGGTATGACGAGTGGAGGAAACTTTATTTGGGACGTCGGTTTGGCTTGGAAACCCTTGAGGTACCTATTTAAAAGTAGCATATCTGCTATTAGTTTCGTCGTAATTTTAAATATTTTTTTTATTTATTTTATGACAATTACTTTAACTCAATAATTTTTTTTAAACGTGATTTTTACAGAACGTGATAATAATATTGTTGTAAATAACATTAAAAGTGAGGATGTGGATGAAGCCATGAAATAATTTGGGGCTCCAAGGTACACCTTCGATAAGAGGAATCCCTTTGACCTAACAGATCATAAATTTGTTAAACTCTTTAGAATATCCAAAAATCTTTGCCGAGAGTTGGTGGAGAGCCTACAAGTGAATCAGCTTTGTCAATAAGGACAAAGGTCAGTAGAAAATGTTTTTCAGATGCACTAAAGGACTTAGTTAAATAAAGTGCAACTAGTTCCAAAAAATTATTAATATTATCAACATACTAATTCAAAAATATCCATCAAAAGTTTACCTACAGACTACATACAGGGTGATTCAAAATTGTCGTCATTCCTCTGGAGGTGTTTGGCGCTGTTATAGGAGTACAGAAAAAATAATAAAATAAATTAATTGTTATTAAAAACTGAGAAATTTGCAAAAAAACTATCAGAAATACGGCAGCAAGGTTTTTCAAGGTAATCTGCCTAATTAACATTACGGAAATACCTGTTGCTTCGTAATTATTTAAAACTCCGGTAACCTTGGAATTATACAGACTGACAATAAAATAGACAAGTATAAACGGTAAATTCAACAAGATTTGTTGTCGAAATGTCAACCTGTTTTCATAACCTCGAATATGGGTGTTTATAAATAAACCCTATGTGGCGAACTCTATCCCCCACTTCTCAACTAGCAGCTCTAACCGAAACGCCAGCTATATCTCACCGTATAATATATGTGGCGTTTCGATTCAAATAGAACTTCCAACCTATGTTCCGTATCCGGCGTCTAAGGCAGGGCCTACCTAAGCCTTACTGACGAGTCCAAAGATAGGCCCGGAACAAAACGAATGGTGCTTCATCGCGCGCCATACCTACAACACAACACAAACATTTGAATGGTTAACTCCAAACAAGCTAGTGCCTGTGTAATCTCCTTATTATCCACTCTTATCAAGCAGATTCTCGTATTCAGTTAATTAACTCCTGCTCCATTTGTATCTCCTTGTGCTGTGTGTATCGTACAAACGTATATAAGTATTTCATTATGCTACCAATTAAACATGGAACAATTTCTAAACAATGCTTAATAACAAAGTTGAAATTCGATCTTCAACTGTTAATATCTTCTAGAAATTTTCGATATTTTTCTCGTACTTCCCAAGAGAGCCTCTATCACCCCTTAAAAGGAATGACGCTAATTTTGAATCACCCTGTATATGTGAGTTGCCTTACTTAAAATATTTTTTAGGTTTTAGCGACGCTCAGATTTTTTGAAACCGGTAGTTACCAAGAAGTCACTATATCAAATAGCTTTGTCGGGATTAGTCAAGCATCAGTAAGCAGGGCTATAACAAAAGTATCCAATGCTCTGAACGAAGCTCCTATTGAAAATCGTATAATTAAATATCAGCAAACAATTGCAGATTTGGAAGCATTAAGGACAAGGTAAGTTTTCCAACAATTGATTTGAGATTTCAACTAAACTTGACTTGACACCTAATTTGTTCTGCGAGATTTCTTCACTTGTCTTAAATTATGGAACGGACTCTTAAATTATTGCGTTCGGTATATCTTAGCTAACAAGCATTAGCGCATTTCTTAAAGGCCCTTCTTAATTTTTTCTATGAACAATTTTTCCGAATACCTAATGTTTATACTACAGTTCTGTATTTTTTAAGCTTCTATGAAAAACGTGGAATGCCAGGAGTATGTGGGTGTATAGATTGTACCCATTGCTATTATGGTTCCTCATAACAATGATCCTAATTTTCCGGAGCATGTTTATGTAAATAGGAAAAATTATCATTCCATAAAAGTGCAATTCGTAAGTAAAAGAACATAATTATAAATGTTAGAGATTTGAAAGTTGATGACATTTATATTTTTTAGGTGTGTGACTTAAATCTTAAAATATTTAATGTCAACTTCAAATTTCCACTGGCGGCTAAACGTAGGAATACGATCCCTTTAATGCGCATGCGCGGACTCTAAGCGATCAGATGTTTATTTTCAGATTTGCTGTTTTGTTGATTGAGGTTAGCATTTTCCTTAATTCGTGTGTAAAGGCTACAGGGTGTTCGAAATTCTTTCATACGTTACTCCAGAAAAATGAATATGGATTGTTTATGCCGCAATTAAGTTTTCGAAATTTGAATTTTGGACGAAATCCAGGCACAAGCCAGTATAATAACATTTATCAATAATATGAAAGTACTAGGAACTCGCATGCTTAATAGGAACTTTGGAATTTGATATTGCCTTTGCACGCCTTAGCTGGGAAGGCCGAATTGCAGAAGAAACAGGCACCAATTTTGGAAGGTCGATAGGTTTAATATAAATACATAATAACAGAGCCAAGTACTTGTCTCTGCATAATAATAGATTTCAAATACCGACATTGTTAAATACGAAATATGAACATGAACGGCATAGATTAAGAGTGAGATAGATAGCGCCTACTCCACTGTTAATCACCCAGCTGATCAGCAGCTAAAATCTGCAGTTAACGCATGCGCATCAATGGGATCGTATTCCTACGTTTAGCCGCCAGTCAAATTTCCAGGCTCATGTCGTGACTGTCATATATGAAGGCAAGCTCCTGTGTCAGATTTAATGGAAACCGTACAAAGGAGAAATCCTAAGAATATGTTCTTTCTCTTGGGCGACTCAAGTATGTAGTTCTAACACAACATTAATCTGGTTGTTTATCTTAGCAATAATATGAAAAGTAAAGTAACAAAAACATTTTAGTATTCACATTCTTTTTCCATATTTTTTTGCATAAATTCTCGAGATTGCGTAGAACTGTACTTGTTAAACAGATACCCTAACACTAACACTGTAAAATTTCTTATATTTAAGTGGTTTGTTTTAAAAAGTTTAATGACAGTCAGTGTCAGCATTAACATTAGCCAAGAATCATTTAGTTTCATTTTTAGGTTATCCAACTCGTCTCTGGTTATTAACGCCTATTAATAATGCTTGCTCATTCATGAACTTGGACGAAGCACGGTTTAATGACAGACTATGCTCTATTCGCTCTGTAATTGAGAGGCGTAATGGGGTGCTGAAGAATCGCTTTTGATGTCTTCTGCGTTATCGCACTCTTCATTACAGTCCCTCAATGGCAATCAAAATACAAACGCTTGTTGCACTTTGCACAATTTATGCATTGCGAATAGAGAACCTGAGGTTGAAGAGTTACACCCCGTGGAACCGGATTATGGCATGTATGCTGATAATTAGTTCAATTTTGTAAGACCTACTGCCAACATAGATCTAGCTGCTGCTAGAGCGCTACAGCAAAATATTATAAATACTCATTTAATTAGGTACTAAAATAAGTTTGGGTGCGGATAAAACTGAATAAAATTAATAAACAAGTTGTGTATTATAGCGCGTTATTTCGTATTTGAACAGAGGCCACAATCTGTTCAAATACGAAATTACACACTATAATACGAAATTTGTTAATTCAGTTATAAAATTAATGTTGATATTAATATGTAATTTCTAGGTATTGATACATTCGGTAAGCTTAACATCTTCACAAGATGTGTAATGCCTTGGTGGGAGCTGCTCATTAAATGTCTGCTGATCAGCGCTTCGTATCAAATCAATTTCTACATCCGTGTTGTTCAAATTGTATCGGCGAAGCGCAAGATATTTGACGGATGTATTGCATTTTCGAAGATAAAAAGTTGGTTGGATGTCCAGTAATGTTATGGTTTATTGACTTCCGTTTTAGAGTTGTACCTAATATATTTACATTGTAAAATTTTTGTTTAACAAATAATTATTATACTTTCATAAAACCTAGCTAAGTTTTACTACTTTCAGTTTTATTTTCCTGACTGCGTGTACTTGTTATGATATTCTTATCCTTTCTGGGTCTCAGTCAAAGTGTGAAGTAAAAATGTTGAACATCGTTTATTTCATTACGTTTCGGAGAGACAACAGCGCCATTATCAGATTTAAAATTTACACAAACTACAAACACTAATTCACAATTAAAACATGTTGTTTAAAATCTATAATTTATAAAGTGTTAAAACATTCATCAGTTTTTGAGGGAAAAAAGCAAAACACTGGAAAAACTTACCTCATGATTGGTAAAAATCAACGTTGTTTTAGGTTTTTGCCTTCTTGAAACCTTAAATTTGTCTGAATTATTTTCTACATTTGCGAGAGTGGTATGCATGTATTGAGATAAGCAGAAATAATTTTAATAGTTTTAATTTTTCACCAGTGTACTGGGTGTTCCATACTTATGGCTTTATTAGGGTTTGGTAAATGTTCCTAAGGTTGTCGGTATCTGTTCTGAAATTTACTGCTTTTCCATGTTTTTTTATTTGTATCATTTCTTCGATTCTTGTTTCATGATAATTTGTTTCCCTAACTAATATATCTGCGTTGTTCAAATCAAAATTACGCAACATATGGTGTGCATGTTGTGTTAATGCTGTTTTATTTTCACTAGTATTTCTTACTGTATTTATGTTCGTACATTCTCTTTTTTAAATATTGTTTAGTTTGTCCTATATATGTATTATCACGTTCTAAACAATTCACTCTATATACAGTATTTGGTATATCCATTTTGTCAGTTTTTGGTTTTAGTTTTGGGAAATATTCAGTTGAAAAGTTGTTTTTTGTTTTTTTCCGCAATTATAATGTTGTGTGGCTTTAGTATTTTTGAATTTTTTTAAATTGATTTCTCGAATGTATGGTAGTGATATATATGCATTGTTTCTTTGTTTCTCATTATTGTTATATTTAGTTGAGTTGTAAATCTTGTTAATTCTTCGCTCCATTATTGGTTCAGAAAAAGTTTTTGGGTAGTTATTATTAAGTAATATTTTTCTGATTTTTTTAAATTTTCTTGTCTGTAATTTGGGCGTAATAATTTTATAGCTCTATCTGTAAGTGCAGTTATTACGCTTTTTTATATTTTTGGGGTAAATATGTATTATAGTTTAAATATCTTCCTGAAAAAACTTCTTTTGAATACCAATTTGTTTTTATTTCAACTGAATTGTCATAATTTACTATTATATCTAAAAAATGTATTGATTTTTATCTTTTTCTATTGTAAATTTTATAGTGTCGTGAAAATTGTTGAATTTATCTAGGGTATATTGAACTTTATCTTTGGGTAAACACATTAAGCCAGCGGTCAGGGAACCGGGGTAAATTACCCCAAATGGGGTAAAAATTAAATTTTTTTGAGTAAAAAGTATATATTTTTAATTTGCTATTTTATAAACCTGTTAATATTTTTTTCAACTTAAACAATTTAGCGACATATGCAGGCCACGCCATCTCACTCCCCACCACTAGAGTATTCTCGAGCTATATCTTTGTGCATTAAAGCACAGCCCCGTCTACCTGATCAGTCCGTGCCAACATACTCGTCTTTATCTATGCGTGCCATTTCGTCCGTACTCGTCTTTATCTATGCGTGCCATGCCGTCAAGATACAAATACATTGACAAGTCAGAGAGCGAGTTTTTACTAGTTAGTTGTTGACCATCATTTTATGATTAATCATCGATATATCGATGAAGGTAAGCCGCAATTTGAAAATTTAATTCAAGAGTATTTTACAACTATTATTTTCTGTCTCTCTTCAGATGGCAGCAAATAGAACAAGAGAACAGAAATCGATTAAACGCCGAAGACTGTATTCAAATCGCTCTTACATCAAAAAGTCCCAATTTTGAAGCAATTATATCGAACATGAAACAACATCATTTCTCCACAACAGCAGGAAGAATGTTTTCAATTATTCTTTTTTTTCTAATTTTTTCAATTCTAATTTTTGTTTGTACCACCATTATTATTAATATCATTATTATTATTATTTGTTACAGTACCCCAAATTATCAACCCTCAATTGTACCCCAATGGGTTTCAATTTGTTATATACAGGGTTGCTCATTAGTGCGTCAAAGTGCGATATCTCAGTAAATATGAAGTTTACAAGAAAATTCGTCCAACGAAAGTTTTTCACGTTTAAAAGGTCCACATTTTAAAATTACTTTCCAATATACGGGGTGTATCATAAACGTGTGGTAGTTACCAACTTTGGTTTTTTAAATGGAACCGCCCCTTTTTCCATTCATTTTCAGATTTGTCGTCAAAATTTAAGTTAAGTTTGTGTCAAACGTTTTACCTGAAAAATTTACGATTTCCGAGTTATTCGTAAAAATGTGAAAGTTTTGACAGCTACTGGGTTCCACAGAAATCGATGCTGTACACTACCCGCTGCGAATTTTGGAAAACAGTTCTCAGCGATTCTAACAGAACATCATGATCTACGTGTAGATATGTTTTAAATTATAAGGAAATACTTCTAAACCGCGCAATTAGCCTCTAAACTTG